ACTTAACCTTCTTATAGAGCCAAGAAATACGTGTACCAAGTTTCATCATGATATCTCAATTTTTACTCAAGTTACAGCTTGCACGGACGGACGGACGGACAGACAGACATCCGAATTTCCACTCTACTCGTCACCCTGATCACTTTGGTATATACAACCCTATATCTGACGCTTTCAGTTTTAAGACTTACAAACAACCGTTATGTGAACAAAACTATAATACTCTCTTTAGCAACTTTGTTGCGAGAGTATAAAAACGGAATGAATACTATCGATCACCGTATTCGTATTCACCAGATTTGGGACCCTGTGATTTGTTCTTATTCTACAAACTAGAATTGCCGCTCAGTATAACCCATGTTTAGTCCATGGAAGAGATGAAACAAAGTTCGCTGAAGGTCATCCCAAAAGTTCTTATGGAAAGTATTTCGAGGATTGGGAAAATACATTTTGATGAATAATTTAATATTTTACATTTTTTTTGTCACAATGTAATTTTGTGGATCTTTTGTTTTCGTCTCGAAGCGCAGTATGGAATTTAGCAAACCACTCGCCAATAGGTGGTTCACACAGTGCCCGGATAACACTACTCAATCCATGTTTTATAAGGTTTGTGTTTTTTCACCAAACATAGTGTTTCACTAGAATACGAAATTTCTTTGTATTTAGTCCAACACCGAAACTTGGATCCCTTAAATTGTTATATCTTACGAACCAAATACAGAATTATTTTTCAAAATAGTGTCTAAGGTCTAAGGTCGTATCCAAAATTTGCGTTTGCAATGCTTTTTCATAGTTTTGGATCGAATAACCCCTAAATAAATAATACTAACACTTTAGTCCAGCTAGTAGTAATAAGTATTAAAACTGATATGGGCAGGAAAACAAATATTTAATCTACTTACAATACATAACAATAAATACTTATATAGTGATTTTAATATCTCACTACGTCCACAGTCCTCTTGTATCTTATATGCTGCAAATAAGCTATGAAATAGAATTGTGTGAAAGCTGAGTTTTCGAGCATCTTCGTTTAATATTTTTAATAAAAAATGTATGTGTGTGTAAACTTCTTTAGACATAAATATTGTATACAAATATTTATTACTTCAAAGAGCATTGATAAATCTGTGCAACTAAAATGTCAAAAGCAACTAAAGGGAAGCAATTGCCGTATGCATAGCTTATTGTTATGAGAAAGCGTTAATATTGTGGTATGTTTTAGTGCGTAATTTTAAATGGTGCAGAGAAATTTTTTTAATAGGCTTAGTATATATTAACTTGAGTCGTAATAGCATGCTCAATATCAATCGCAATTACAAATGTTAGCTTTTACTTCAAATGTGCTAACATTCTCTTGGTTGGATATTAATATTGTCGCCATCTAAATCTGATCAAGCCCTAAAGTCGTCTAAAAGAAGTTGCTGTCGTTTCCAGTATAAAGCAGTATTCGTGGATCCACAAAATTTTATATATTAAATAGAGCTTTCGACTGGCAACAGTGTGACAAATGATATTTCTCTACGGTAGAGTTGAACCTGATTGCCGTTTTCCAAAGGTCTTACATTCACCTATATTACAGGTATAAGTATTTTGGATATTTTCGTTAAAAATGCGGTATTGTTTAAATTACTTCAGCAGATTAATTTCCAAAAATAAAAATGAGTATTGTTCATGTTGGATATTTCTCAGGGTATTTTCTTAACTATTGGTATCATGGATACTTGTATTGAGTGCAGTAATTGAATATTCTTAAAAGAATACATTTTTTGATGTTGTTCAAGAAAATGCTACAAGCCATTTATAGATGATTTGGGCACAGCAATACAAGAGCTCTACAATCCATTGGTTGTAACGCGATGATATATGACATAAAGTTATATAAATGGTGTTTTTTAATAAGGCCATTTTAAGCATGCTTTTACGAACTCTGCAATTATAATAAATGTAAAAGTAAAATAGCCTCTGATTTCCAGTTTTTCTCTTTCAACTCTAATTACAGGTTTTTTCCTAAGAAATTAAAAAGTGTCATTAAGTCTACTTCGAGTTAAATTATTTGTAACTTTTCGATTTTTTTCCTTTGAGGCGTGAATTTCGTGAATGTTTCTACAAACATAGCAGTTTTGAGAATTGCTATGTTGTACAAACTTTCGAAAATTCAACGCAATATACATACACAGGTGATTATTGCCGATCTTTTAAAGCTTTCGCTCAGCTTACAGTGATTGTACACATTAATGGTTCGACGTTCAATAACGGGCGACAACAGTGAGTGCTCACAACACAGGTGCAAACACAAATTCCTTTCTTTTCACTTAAGCACGAGATATAGTTTTCCACAGAGAATGATTGATTTCTGATATAAATATAGTAGCGTTTTACCTGAGCCATTTCTCGGATATTATTATTGGACTTAGTTCTTTTTTTGTAGTTATAGTTTTTCGTTTTGCGAAGCAATAATAATTTTGAAAGCTCGATATCCCACCGTATTGATAAATATCATTTCATTCGGTATTGACTAACACTTCCTTGTAAACTAGTATTTAGTAATACAATGAAGTATTAGTGAATACTTTTGTGTATTTGTGTGTATTTGGGAGCCTGAACTAACACCTACCGGGAAATGTGGAATATGTTCAATCTATTGGCTAACTTAATTGAATTAAATTTTCTAAGTTCTATTCATTTAGAGTTTTAAATTGCTGATCAGAAAAGCTATAGATTACTTAAGTTTGGCTAAATACAAAAAATGTTCTCAAAATAGACACAGGTGAAAATTAATTTACAAAATTTGCAGTGAGCTTAGAACAAAATCGAAATTAATTGGATAGCTTATAGTCATATATAGACGGGCTAAGATAAGTATGCAAATAAATATTTAAACATATAGATACATATAGAACGAATATATGGATGATAACTGAAAATCATCACTTCTGCAATCGCGTAATCTTCAGCAGTAAGCTAAAGGATTAAAATAGTCAGCAATTCTAAGTAAAATTTGAATTTGGTTAAAACGAAAAATGAAGAAAACGTAACTAATGTACGAGTATGCGATGTTTTATGACTATTCGTCTGCTGGATCAACTTACACAGAATAAATCATTCCTTTCTTATAGCCACCTTGTGATTTAATTCCCTGATACATGACTTCATTCCAATCTTCACCGGTTAGAATTTGAAAGACTGTAAGTAAGGCTATGGGGAATGTGTTGAAATTTGTTTCGGGGGTACCGCTTTTAAAACTAAATTGCCCGCCAAACAATTGCATGCCAAGTAGTGCAAATATTAGAATGAATAAGAAGAGCAGGAACAACAGTGAAATGATGGATCTCATCGAGTTCAACAACGAAATCACAAGATTTCGCAAGGATGACCAATATTTGGTCACTTTGAAGATACGAAGTAAACGAAGCGCTCGCAATACGGATAAACCGAATGAACCGCTTTTCACTTCGGACCATATAACTTCGAATATCGAACCACTAATGACGACACAATCGAATCGATTAAACGACGATTCGAAATAGGTGTGCGGTCCCAGCGCATACATCTTGATGAACATCTCCGACATGAATAGACCCAAAAAGACATATTCAGCAACATCTAGAATTAGAGAGAAAATATTAAATATTTGCAGCATAGTCTTATACAACTATATATATGTAAATATACCAAAGGACGGGCGTATAATGTTAAAAATGTTTAACCGCTCAACCACCATTGCACCAGAAACTATCTGACAATTTACAAGTACTTACATAAAAAATCTGTTAAAAACTGTGGTTGATCATAGTGCTCTACTGCGACGCACATAGTGTTCAGGAATACGAGTACGATGACAAACCAATAGAACCATTGTGTCTTCACAGTGTGTCGTATCCAGAAGCGGAAGCGCTTTTCGGCCCGCCAAAAGCCCGTACAGCTGCCTTGAGGTTTAGGGCGTGATTTTAGATATCCTGTGGTCGGGATTGCAAACAAATTTTGGAATTAGTGAAATCCTCGAATTGTTCAAATCATATATTACATCGAAAGGGAATGAATATTGCAATGGTTACATGTAAATATATATGTACTTAGATACAAATGTAGGATCATGACTTCTTTTTAGCGAAAATATAAATCGTACTTTAAAATAAGTTAAAAATTCATAAGCATTTGCATATTTATGTGTTCATATATGTGTATTTATAAATGTTTGTATGTAACTAGCCATTGGGAAAGCTAAACAAGGAAAACTTTCTTTCTGATATCAAAGGGATTGCACTCGTAAACGAAGAACCATCAAATTTATTTTTATACTCTTGCAACATGTTGCTACAGAGTATAATAGTTTTGTTAACCTAACGCTTGTTTGTATCATTTAAACTGTTAGATATAGGGATATATACAGAAGATCGGGATGACGAGACGAGTTGAAATCCGGGTGACTGTGAGATTTGAGATGTCCGTATGAAACTTAGTCCAGATGTTTTTAGGCATCGTGAGACGGTTGGTATTGCAGGTGAGCATTATCGGAAAACTGCCACGCCAGTAAGATCTAATTAAGCGAAAACTTATAGAATGCCATAACAAAGCATCAAATTAAGAAACAGGGAACTGCACCGGTGATCCAAAAACTTTTAAAAAGTGGATGTTTCAACGCAAATATCCAAAACACCAATTTCGCTCAGTACAAATCTCAAGCATTGGATGAAATCGTAATAACTGTACAACTGTACAAAAATAGACTAAATCGGACAGCAAACACGTCTACACCTGATTCTTTCATTTCCAGTGTACAAATCAAGAAGGAATTAATACATCGGGATAAAACTTTAACTTTTTCGAACATCCTTACCTTAATGAAACTCGGGGAACATTTTATTAATTTGTGGCATTTTAATAGTACATAGTATTGCAAAAATTAATAAAATCGAGTCAATTCTGCTCTTAATTCCCATATGTATTACATTTTTCTAATAAACCTTATGTCGAATATGTCGGTCAATGTTCGTGTTATATGCTAGATCCTAACGGTGCTTCACTGGTTTTGATCCTTACAAGTTGCAAGAGCATAAAATGTTCGATGGCACCCAAACGTAGTCTTCCTTACTTGTTTAAATAAATTAATTTGTTTTGTATAGAATTAAAATAGTCAGCACTGTGATCGTACATTGGCTGTGATTTTATTTGAAACTAAATATTGTATATTTGTCCTTAAGGTTTGCCTTCATATATAATTAATTAAGATTTCCAACAACTTCGCATCTCATATTGCTTTTTAAGCTAAGTATCCAGCTCTCAAGAAATGTAAAAGCTTCATATAAAAAAAAAACGCTTAAGAAATGGTCAAGAAACTTTCCTGCGATCAATTTATTTGTGCTAGTATGCAGCTCTGAAGAAATCTACAACTAATTTTTAATACTTTTTGCAATAAAATGCGAATGTGGCAAATCTCATTTTGCGAAGAAACATCAAATGAACAATCGTTTCTTGAAGGAAATTCAAAGTAATCGTTAAATTGATCGCAATGAAAATATTTATGTTATTACACAAATACATACATACACATATTACACACAATGTTTATTTTCTTTATTTATTCTTTCTTGTTCATCTAATGTGTATTATTCACAATGCGTAACCAGCTGCCAAATTACTTGAAGAAAGAAGGTACTTTTTTTCTTGAGCAATTACTTGAGAGCTGGAAACGGACCTCTATAGTAAAATCAGTTATGCCGAAATTATGCTCTTAGCTGTACAGCCAATGTTTGTCAAAGTTCTATTCGAAATTTCTTATGAAAATACTCTTTAAATGCTTATGTGTGTTTATGAATTTGCATAGCGCTTGCAAGCTAGTTAGATAAACGACAAATAGCTTACATTAAAAGCAGCTAAATATTTGTACGAGAATGCTATAGTGCTTTTGCATAGCTAAAATAAAAATAAATATGTGAAAGGATTAAAAAGTAAATGAACTTGAACTTAAATTAAGACTGGTACCAGTGTTTGTATGAGAGTAGATGTGTAAACTTGTGATTTAAACCGCTCTCAAACCTTATTATTTTATTGAACTGACCCTTTGCTGTGCATATTTGCATGAAATAGTTTTAGAAAAAATTGCACTAAGTTGAAAATTTAAGTTACTATTGCTTACTTAAAGGGTTACATTTAATGCCCCGAGTAAAGAAGTTAGCTTCGGGAACATTTCTACAAAACAAACTTCAACAAAACTTCATCTTTTAGAAATTCCAAACAAAGTTGCGCTTTATGGCATTTGTCCTTAAATTGAAGGAATAATGATTGAGATTTTCAAATAGACTCCTAATCAATTCAATAATTACTCTGAAATGTCTATTTACAGCTTGATGCTTCCACATATTTTTCCAAATTGGAGTACAGAAATCAATCATGGACAGAATTTTGTCGTTAAACAAGCATTTATGAAGACCTTATTTTCATTGTTTTAAAAAGAAATGTATTGAGTCTTCAAAGTGAGTAACCTGTTGTATTTAAATGACATATTATATAACCGAAAAGCCTTTGATGCGCGGCAATGCACGATATATTTCGTTGCCTTATGGACTATAACTAAAAATCCTGAGAGTAAGAATACGTAATATTCAAATTGTGTTAACTTGCCTAGAAATACTAATTAAAAAGGTTTTTTTTTTTTTTAAATAAAGAGTGAAGCCTCAGTCATTCATTTTTGGGTGAGGAAATATTATGTATAATTAGAAATATAATTTTTTTTTTTACATTTTTCTGCCCACTCACTTACACCTTAGAAAACTATTTATTAGTGCAGTTGAATAATGATTTGATAAAATATGATTTATTATGCATGGGAATATTGTTGAAAACATGACTTATAAACATTACATTTCTTTAAGAAAATAAATTTGCACTAAATGGAGTTGGGTGTTTATATATTATTCGAGTTTTTGATTAAGTGACTGGTGAGTTTTAAATAGGCTGAGGAGATTTAGTATTGATTCGTGTGTAGAAAAATAAATTTCATTTTCATTTTACTTACACATCGTTTGATCATAATAATATTATGGATTTTTTGTATTTTTGTTGAGAAAAATAAGGAAATTAAAAAAATATATATTTTCAGCATTAATTATTATGTCAAATTATTATTTGCATATCGAATTAATAGTTAAGTAAAATAAATGAAAGAAATAACTTAAAGAAGATATACAATAAAAATATATCGAAATTTCTAGAAGGACAGTATTTTCAATTAGATACTGAATTATTAGGGCGTTCAAAAAACATTAAAAACTATTTACCAAACCAATGTTGGTTAGTAGTAGGAATGACACATTTGTACATACATAAACAATTCAAGAAAATTAATAATTAACAATACATTAAATTTACATATGTACATACATATACATTGCCTTATGAGGAATTAGATTATTTGTCAAAACAAACCAAAGAAAATCGCCAAAAAAACTAAACAAAGACTCTATGTACAGAAACGAAATATTTCGATAGTCTATTTTATTTGGAATCTATTGGATCTTTATCTACACCTTCCATATGCAATAAATATATGAGAACTAATAAATAGTAGAGCAAATACTTAAAGATATTATTTATTAACTGCGACTAACACTAAAATGCATGAACACTAGTACGAAACATTCGTCATAGGCCGAACTTTGTGCAATGAGAGCTGGTCAAAGTATACGGAATGAACCTCAATAAGTTCAACGCCTATTCCCAATACACATAGCGGCGAAGTTGTCATGTAGCCTCTTCCGGACGACTTTCAAAATAATGAAAGCACTTATTCTCGAATATTTCTTTTTTAATATAACTTGATAAATAAAACGCGAAAACTCCACTCTAGCTCCACCTATCGTATACTTGGGTTTTACGAATATTTTATTTTATGCGAGTGTGATAAATATGCAACTAGGAAAGTTATGTCCCTTTATCCTTCCATCCGTCTGTCTATATACATATATCTGAACTAGTCACTCACCTTCTGAGATATCGAAATTTAGCACATGTCATTTTCTCAACAAGAGATATCGGACCACCGTAGCATACAGCTGAATGATCGAAATCAAGTGCTTGTATGGAAAGCTTTATCATTCACAAAGTTTAGGATTATTGTCTAAGGCTATTATGAAATCTCCTCGGAAATTGTTCAGATCGGACCACTTTAGTATAGGGCTGCCACACGAATAGGTCTATCAAAATCAGGTGTGGTATTTTGAGTATAACTGCTGAAAACTTAGTTTAATCATACCACACAAAATTATTCGATGCACTTTTATATTCTTAGATTTTTTGAAGAAAATAATTCATACCTTCTTCTACCTTGAAGATTTATACACAGACATTTCAATCATATCAAAGTAATGGATAGACATGAAACCATAAACTAAAAGCTTACATTAGGCTCTAAGTTACAAACTACTAATATTGTAAAAAGTAAAGTTATAACACTAAGTCTTCGCTGAATATTGGAAATTATATTTGTATATATATTTACTTAAATAAATATTTAAAACTATTACTTTGGTTTTAGTTTTCGGGTTTTGTCCCTGGAATTGCGCTTATTAATTGAAGTAGAAGCAGTTGTGAATATTTACTATATATTTTAACTCTATAAATATTAGCAGAGGTAGACAGTTGATACTGTTCTAATATGTACATATATGTAACTGTGTTGGCATGAGTTTTTTTCTGCATACGGAAATACCACTTTAAATACACCCGAATTAAAAATTGCCCCTTAATTCATTTACCAACTTCTTTGGTATTTTCTAAATAGCGTGTTCTTATCACATTTCTTTTGTTCATTTAATATTCCAACAATAAGGACACTAACTATCCCCATTAAGAAATAATTGTGGAAATTACAAAGATTGATAGAACAGCTAAGATCAAATTCTAATTTCCAATAATCTAATTATTCATGGAACAAAGACAAGGGCTTAAAATTTTCAGAAGAATTTGATAAATTTCAAAATTCAAATGGAAAATCCATCAATAAGCAGCTATTACCTCTCATAATATAGTAGAGCGATGAAGTTATTATAGTTTGTTTATAGAAATTATCTACCTAGGATCACATCTGACATACATGATGATGATAGATTATGTATCTTCCTCGTAAACTATCTGACTTTTGTTGAATCAAAAATACAATAATGATGTCATTCCGTTGTCTGTCATTATCAATACTATTGAAATTCCTGACATTTTTTATTTTTAAACTTTTCATGCTATACATGACATTGTAATGATAAGGAAATACTCCAGACTGCTCTAGTTGGACGTTAGACTTAAAGCACAACATAAATGAGAAATTGATGAATATTGAACTAAAGCTTTTATTAATACCAATGGAGGAGCTAGTTAAGATATATCTACATATTCATTTATATGTATTGTAGTATATGTATGTACTAAGTTATACACATACTTATGTAACTGTTTAAGGCTAAGAATATTATGAGGTTAGCTAGTTCTAGAATAGATTTCAGCGCTTTTGAAATTATTTTCGCAGAAAAGCTTAACATTACATTATACAATTATTAAAGTAAACAAAATAGTTCGAAAAGTGTACGAAAATATTTGGGAATAAATATTTCACAATTAAAAACATTAACGCTGACTCAAAACTAAATGATTGAACAGAACGAAACAATAGATTTACCTTCATCGCCCTTTTCACCACCCTCTGTTGACACATATTTATACGTGGTGGAGCAAACATAAATGGCGTGTACCGTATTATTAGCACACACACACACATACGCGGTTAGGTTAGGCGGTTTTTTTTTTAAGTAATAAAACAACACAAGAGAGGAAAGACAAAAAACATAGAGATGAAAAGAAAAATTGTTCACAATGTGATTTCGAACAACAACAAAATTATAAATCAATTAATGCTTCATCGATATAACGAAACATATCAGTTGTAATGGTGCTGTTTCGTGTAAGAATTGAAATAATTTTGTGCGCTCTGAGGAGCAACAACAATATCGGCCATTTGCGTTCAAATCGACCCTAACGGAATTTTGTGTGTGATTTTAGGTTTTCATACTGATAATGGTTTGTGAAACATGCAATTCTAACTTGATTACAAATTTTGTATCACTTTTCATTGTCAATATTCAATATTTTGTTAAAAATGACAAATTTCTTCGTTTCTGCTTACAATTTTGTGCAATTTCGTGCGTTAACGCTGTGAGTAATAATTTTACAAAAATCATTGTCAAATTTCAGTCTTACGTACCATCGTCCCCGTAGTCTTCTTCACCGTCCTCCTCCTCTGTGTCAGTTGACTTCGATTTGCCTAAGCTTTTCAGTTTTTTACGCTTCGCCGCATTTCTTCTCCGTGCTGCAATCGAATAACAGATTATGTACATAGGTTTGGCATATTTTTTGTTTTTGAAAGAATTACAAGAGCATCTTACTTTTTTGTAACGACTCACCTTCCATTATGTGCATTTTTTCCGCCTCAGTTGTACGCTCTTCGGCTAAGATCACTTCCTCTGCAAGTAGGCGCCAGATTAATACGAAAAAAAAGTGTAAATTTGCAGTAAATTTTTTGTTCAAAATACAAATATACATATGTATGCACCAACGGCAATGTTAAGCTACATTTGATATATTCGTACGTACATACTTATGTATTTGTAATTTAATAGCAGCACATAAAGTCGAGTTATTTGAGGTGTTCAGGGTACCCGTTTCTATTTAAGTATAGAACATGTGTGCGTGTGTGTATGTGTGTGTTAAATTTGTTAAATATTGTTTGGTTTAGTAAGAATTGGAATTTTACAATGTGTTTTAACTGCGCAAAGTGTGTCGTATGTGTAGCTATATTGTTTTCGATATCTCGAATTGTAAGTGTTCAGGTTAAATACGAGTATGTAGGTGTAACTCAATACTATACCAGCTTTACAAATCCATTCAACATAGCCGTTCAATTCTCTTTCTAGCTGATGTTGTCTTCTAAGTTTAAGAAACTCTTGTCTATTTTCTACTTTTTCACGTTCTTTTGCGAATTCACTACAAAAAATAATTACACAAAAACAATATACATACAGGAATGGTAGTTATAATTGCAAGTGTTAGTTTTTCGACTTGTTTAATTGTAATCATATATTTATGTATGCATGTAAAATTTTGAATATGCTTGTAAGTAGTCTGCAAATCATTCAATTCTTTTGCGCATACTTTATTGTTTAATTACAATACAACCAACTTAGGAAAACCAAATAATAAAAACGAAATTTCGAAGGGAAATAAATGGACACAATTTATATCGAATGTAAATAGAAATATGACAACTTGTAAATATCTAGTAAAGAGTAAGGTAAATATCGGGAGTTCTGTTCTTTGTATTTAATTCTATCAACAGTGTGTATTTGTAGCATATTCTGGTCGAAAACAATAATATTCACGTTTACTGGACGGTTAGAAGCGCAAAATTCAATTATAACGACAATTAATAAATTAAATATTAACAAAATTTTTTCGTTAGACTAAAAGGGTTATATTAAATAGTCTTGCCATAAGTACTGTTATGCGGACATGGTCAAGTCAAATATTCACAAAAACTTTTAGTTTATCGTACCATCTTACGGTCTTTCGAGCAAGAAGTGAACGAGGAGCCAAAACGGTAGCGCCTTGGACGGAGTTCCTTAAGAAAGCGTAAGATCATGACTTCAGAAATGCAAAAGTCTTGCAGATCAATACCGCTTTGACCTCCATGTAAAGTCATGCTGTAGTATGCAGGTAAGGCACATACAATGATATATTTTGACTGCGCCAAAAGTTCATTCAAGTTATGGTCCAATAAGATAACTTAAAAAGCTTGATGAATCCTTTAACAACAAATCCCGGTGAAATGGTATATAAAACCAAAACAACTAAAAGCTGATTACACCAGAAAATTCGGGTTTAGTAAATGATCTTCCATGGCACTAGAATTTAAACGTCTCGATTACATATTATAGTGAGAAACAAGAATGTACAAAATGCACCACCAAAGTTGGGTAATTCCTTAAAGGGTATTCATTGTAACGACTCAACACTGCGCACTGAAATCACATGTCCCGCTCTTTGAAATGTTTAAATTTTACACTTCATGTCATGTCCATGTCAGGACTATAAATAATATTTCAATTAACTTGGAGATAGTGAGCGAGTGTTCTCCTAACTACTGTTAAATTAAATTTAATACTTAAAATCTATCTAAAAGAATCTTAGCATTAAAATTTATATATTCTACAAGAAATTCAATAACAAAACTATCATTGTTTTCGACAAGAAACTTTCGGCTGTTAATCGCTGTGTGCTGTCCTATATAGGTTAGTTTTTGCACATTTAAAGACTTTTCTGGAAAACGAAGTTATATATTTAAATAATAAAAGTTGTTGTGTACCACTGAAAGTGTAGTGGGGGGGAATATGTTAATGTTCGTTTTACATGTGTTCCAGTAAAAACTATGTGTAATGAGAGTGAATGGAAGGTGAATCATAGCAGCCGAAGTTGCGAAAACTTAATCGTTTTCGTTTGTAGGATCCCTTCTTTAACTTTTTTTTTCACCAGATCCGCTCAAAAGTTAACCTGCTGTAAAAAGGAAATATATACATTTTATACTATCTTGTTGTAGCTACAGAATATAATGGTTTTGTTTACCGAACGGTTGTTTGAAACACCTAAAACTAACCGAGATATATAATATATAGAGTAATATACATATAGTATCAATGATCAGGATGACGAAACGTCCGTGCAAGCGATAACTTTGATGAAAATAGAAATATATAGCGTGTTGAAAGCCTAGGTGTGGTATAAAGCCTTCAAAGGCGATCGGGAGATCGTTGAAGACATGCCTCGTACTGGGCGAAATTCGACCTCTTCAACTGAAGAAAATATTAGAAAAGTGAAAGATGTGGTGCGTGAAAATCGTCATTCAAGGGCTAGAGAGATGGCAAGAGAGCTCGACATTTCCCGCGAGTCCGTTCTAATGATATTAGTAAAAATTTTTTGGTATGAAACGCGTTTTTGCTTGACACGTCCCGATAAAGCTGAAACCGTAAACAGGTCTCTCTGCTTGGTTTTACACGATGATAACGCACCATCTCATCGAGCCACAATTGTGACCGAATTTAAGGCCAAAAATGCAATCAGTAACATCGGTAAACCACCGTATTCACAGGATTTGGCTCCATGTGATTTCTTTTTTTTTTTCCTCTAACTGAAATAACCTCTCCGTGTAAGACTTTTTCAGGCGATTGAGGAGATAAAACAAAATTCGCTGAAGGAGCTGCAGGTCATCCCAAAAAGTGGTTATGAAAAATGTTTCGAGGATTGAGAAGACCGTTGTCATAAGTGCAACTGGTGGCGATTACTATGAAGGCGATAAATAACTATTGATGAATAATTAGATATTTTGGGTGATATTTACAATTTCAGGGTATATATAGTCAAAATATATATATGTATAGATGATCAGGATGATGATAACTTGAGAATAATTAAAATATCTTAATGAAATTTGTTCCTTGGTAGTCAAGAGTTATGATATTACAAATTAAACAAATTTTTCTGTATATTCACTGTGAAGCTCTATAAACTGCTGCGAGTTCAGTTAATTAAATTAATTATAAATGGAAATTGAAATTTGACTTATAAAGATGGAATATCCAGTAATTTCAATAGTTATTTGATATGCATACTTGCCGATTAACTTATCTTCTCTAGTAAAATAATTTCTGTGTACAAAAATTGTTGTCTTCAAATAAACACGTCATTCACAGCTGTTTATGGCAAGATCACCTAGACTACTAGAACATTAATAAAAATGAGTGATGTCTGCATATGCTTATGACGGTGTATTCCAAAAGTAACTGGGCATATTTGTGTATAGCTTTAAATGTACAAGTGTTTTTAATTTGTATGAGAGGGATTTCCAAAGTGCGCTCTTAACTGTAAAGTGTGCTTATTAGCAATTATTGTTATTGTTAAGATTGCTTAAATTTCAGTGTATAAAAGTAGCCGGTAATTTCGGATTGTCAATGCTTGTGTAGTTTATGTAAATGTAAAATTATAGTCCTTGTGTATTTATGGATATTTTTCTTTTTGAAAACTATTTTTCGTTACGTAAAATGCATAACACATCCACATTGCAGCACAAACAAACAAAACTTTTGGCAACACATTCAGTAATCCGCATCTCAAACATATTTTCAATTAATCGATATTAAACTGGTATTCTAACGGTTAACATTTGCGGGAGTGACTATATTCAAAATAAGAATTTCAAAACTCTGGTTCCATATACATACAAACACGTATTGGTTAAAGTGATTCAGGAGTTACTTAGATTTTCCAGTAATGATTACTTCTTTGGCATACACTTGGAACTAAAACCAACTAGCATGAATATACTATCAGTTAAATTCATGTACCATAACTTTATAGGAGCTGTTTATATAGTTAGTATGAGTACAAGTACGAGTAGATAATTTGTATATTTGTATATTATTTGGATGCTTGTTAAGTACTGCTGGCACAACAAATTTTGGTGGTGAGGAATAAACGTTGCTGACGGGTGTATTTCATCTTTTCTAATTATGTTTTGAATCTATATTTTGGGGGGTATGTATATGGTGGTGGTAGTGTTTGCGGTACTAGGTTTAAAACGCTTTCTGTCATAACTGTTATTTGTTTTACAAAAAAGGTATGTCAAAAACCTGCTTGTGTTATCCAATCGAGATATGAAACCATGGCAGTTTGAAACATGGTGCGAAAACGGCATTTTTGAAACTCCATGCGACGTTCGACACGATTACGTTCATTCGAAAACTCACTGCACAAAATATTATCGGGCATTATAGCAATTCAAAAATAATTTTTTGTTTGGTTTGGTTTGGTACGTTTCAGATTACAGCAAAAGAACATATAAATTAGAAAAGATTGTTAAATTAAAGAAAATAGAAAATTATTTGAAAAGATATGCAACAATCAATACTAACTTATTCATATAAATGAATGTAAAATAAATAATATAAATTTTGATAATCTCTGATTTACTGCAGTATTTGAAGAATCAACTTACCCGCTAAGGACACCGAGAACTAAGTTGAGCATAAAAAATGAGCCTATAACTATAAGAGGCACGAAATATATCCAATTAAATGCTGAACCTAAAGCGTCGTTGGTCTGCAAGAATAATCGTGGTGAAGATATATTAATGCAAGGATAATCAAACTAGTTAAATTGCAAATACAATTCGAAAGAAAAAATTACAACAAACGAAAATAACACAAGGAAAATGCTTTTCTAAGCATTTCCTTATATACATACGTACGTATATACGGTTTGTACACTTACGAATAAGCTATGGAGAGAAAAAACTTGTAGACGAACGGCTCACCATTAAGAATACAACAAACATTTATTTAAAGATGTACTTGGATTCAATTAGTTGTTATTATCAGTGTAGGAAAAAATTAACTTGAAAATGTTTAGAGTCAATTAACTTTTAATGTTTTTGCTACAAAATTATTTGAATTTAGCCCACTATTTGTATGAAATGCATTTGTGTTATTAGCCAAATTTATATTTCTCCGATTAATTTCATATGGTATTCAACATAAAATGCTGTGAATCAAAAAATAATTCACGTAAAAATCTTGTGTGTGTAATTACTTAAGAACTATGTTAATGAACAGTTTATATAATATACAAGTATGTGAAGATTGATAGTCTAAAGAATATAATACAAGCACACACTAAGAAATTCGACTTTGATGCATTCCGGTTATCGAAAATGAATGAGAGATAAAATAAAGCAACAATAAGGTATATTTTTTATGGTCTTGAACAGATTTAGGACTTCTTGATTATTATTATGACTAAGCGTTTTTGGAATGACTTATGAACGAAGCCTTCTTGTCAGAAGAATAGTTGAAGCTCCCGTCATGATCTTTTTATATCTAAAGGGCCATTATCTGTGTGACTGTGTTGTTCAAATCAGTTTGTTGTTCCGGAAACTATTGATATTGTGCGCAATCTGATATAGCAAGATGGTCGTCCACGACCGTGCCATTAATAGGACGTATGCTGTTCAATATTGGATGAACATTTCACCGTAAACAAAAAATTGTACACGTTGGATATCATACGATCTGCCAATCGCTTAAAAACATGCTCGTGTCGATTGGTTATAGGTCTTATTATAAAGAAATAATAAAATATGATAGTAGAGCCGAATTCTTTAAAAGTTGTTCTGGCACGAAACAATTCCAAAAAATTGGTTGCCGGTTTTTTGGAAAAACTGCACACATCACAACCATACTAGTACAGCAACGCAGAACAGTAAGTTCTGAGTACTACACAAAGACGCCAAAGACGGATCACTCGTCACCACGGCTATGCGAGCTCTCACACATCGCCTGAACCAACTTCGTTTTAGAACACTAAATACCGTAGTATAGACCTGACTTAGAACCAAATGCCTTCTTTTTATTCCCATAGGTAAAAAATAAACTAAGAGATTAACGTTTTTTTTTACTCCTGAAAGGGCTGTTGCTGCTTTCGGAACGCATGTCTAGGAGATACTCTAACACTTAATACCACAATAGCAAGGTTAACAAATTTAAGTAAACTGCCAATTTTATTGATATTCTTGACTGTTATCTATATATTTACATATCTTTAAGTTTTTGTACTTGAGCAAGGCTAAAAATAAAATAATGGATAAACATTGAAATTATGTTATTCGCCACAGAATGCATCAAAGGGAAAGTCTTATTTAATGAGTGTATGTTTAGTCGAAAAAAGTGCATCTAAAAATTACATACAACTATGATAGAAGTTTACACAAACAGCATTCACCTTCATCTGTAGCTCACTATCATATATGATAGGCAATTCTGTATTAGGTAAATCATTATCCACTAATTAAGAATTTAAAAATTTATTTAAAATACATACAGCAAGAACCGGGAAAGACTGCTGTCAATTTTGGAATAAAAAGTGTAATAACGGTGAAGTTACCACACATTCTAAAATGTACGATAAACTAAGAATATATGTAATAAAGTCGATGAAAGCCTTACTCCGGTCCTTATATTGTATTTAAATAGAAATATAGGAGAAGTTTGGACATAGATATACACACATCGAAGAGTAAAGGGCATTCAGAGAAAGTGGGGTTGCTTCTATAATATTTTGCAGCCTAACGACACCAAATTAATTAGAAATGGAAAGTGCAATAGAAAACGGACGAAGACGCACAATAAACTCAATTGGAGAAATTTACAGCTGCAGATTTTAGATGCGTACAAATACGGAGAGTGTAGTAATGGAGCAAATGCATAGAGGCAATTCTTACCATATATTTACTTTTTGACAAAACACTGATCAATATTGATTTAATATGATGAGAGTAGCTTCAAATCAAATGTATAACTAATTGTCTTGAATATTTTGCATTGTAGTGAACACTAAAATTTGCATAGCATTTCATTAAGATTTAGCAGCGGTTAATTACAAATATGGGGAAGACATACAAATTGTGACGATACGTAAATACGTGTGTATTTCTAGCGTTTGTTTTATACAAGTATGATTGTTTTATTTTCTATTTTTTTAGATATTCAATTTAATTTACCCAATACAGTATTGCTGTCCAGCCCTCCATTGTGATACATTGGAACACAGTCAACATGGCAAAGCCGATATTATCAAAACTAGTAATGCCCCAATTTGGCCCTTCCCATTTATCCAAACACATACTCGTGTTATAATCACATGAGAAAGAACCAGCCGCTTTCATCGACGCATTATCCGAGTAGCAGGGCGTCTCTGATTCGCCTTCCTTAACGGACCTTCCTACAAGTAAAGGAAGTAAAAAGCAGATAAACATGAAACATGTACATAAAATATTATCACATTTCAAGGCTAAATAGTCTGCAAAAAATCTTAATATCCGTATGTAAGATAAGTTCACTAAACTTATTAAGTAATAAATTTAGTGACGTTTTATGGTACCAAATTTATTTCAAAAGAAATGAGTTTATCTTGCTCGCTCTAAGTTTCATACTCCTTTTTCAGATGCCATATTTACCAATTGTTATTTTCAACTCCTCTCCATAATTCGTTCGCAGTTCTGGTCTTATTGGTTGCCAAATGATTTCGTTTAGCCTATCATGTTTATGTTTATGAGTATATAAGGTAAGGACTTTTTTCCGGTTAAGGTTGAAACTATACTTTTTGATGAAATGAAGACTATGAAATCATTATTTAGAAAATAGCAAAAAGATTTGATCATATTTAGGCGACGATCATGCCCAAAGATTCCTTAACCAGGTATTCGGAAAATTTTGAAATTTCGTAAATTCGAAAGGCAAATTAGATCTTGGTTAATAAACAGGTATATTATGAGCACTTCTTTCGTCCTTTGCCGTTTGTCGTACGACCTTTAGAAGCTTAATTAGTACGATTTTCGAAGCTTTTGATATACCAAAATTTATCTTGATCACAGTATCTTTGCAATACTGATCTTTCAATTAAATTGGATCCTTATGATCTAACCTCCTAATTCTAGATTTTTTTTTCGATGTCTAAAGTTGCGAGCCTAGCGAGTTAGATATCTTTAGGATAGACACATTTGGTTCCGAATTACTTTCAATGGAAAAACCGAAACTTACCATACTTTCTTTTCAGTTGATTAGATTTTTGAGTCAAGATGTATTTGGTATACATAAACATTATTTCGCCTTTTTAACTAGGAAAAGATATTAATAAAACCATCCGTGTACTTACTTAGATCTTCCAAACTATAACAAGTTTTATGCAGGGCACCCGAATAGAACTCGAGTCCGATGATTGCAAATATAACGATCGCAAACAAGACTAAAAGTCCAATTTGAAGCAACGGCGCCATAGCCTTTATAATGGATTTTAAAACTACTTGTAGACCTGCGTTTCCACGTCGTCCCGAATATCAAGCAGCACATCGGTGTGAAGCAGCAGTAAAGTTGTGTAACAATTTACCATGTGGAATGGAAATGTTATATTAGAGATGGGAAAATTTCATAATTTATTTAAAGAAAATTTGGAAATTAATAATGACGCTAAAAAACAGCAAGTTCAATAAAACTAAAAATCGATAATATATTTCTAGAAACACTATTAACTTAAGTGTGAATAGTAAAGAAATATGGCTTCGATTAGAGCTTGTTCGAGTTTATGGAATTTGATCAGTATATTGAAGTTGTTATCAGTTTATTTTTTACTCGAAGTTTATTAAAAATTGTTCTTTTTTTATTTTTATTTTTACAATTTGTAGAAATATTTCCACAATTTGCTCACAAAATCTTAGGCTGAAACATTCATAGAAACAAAGTTACATATGTATATACAATGGTATGTAGGTATCGCGGGTTTGGACCGTATTCTGGAAGCATATTTCATTACTTATCGCAAGCAAACTTTAAACATAATAAAACTGTTTCTAGCTATTTTTTTAATTTCAGCTAAACTTTATATTCGAAATTGTACAACATTTAGCTAAAACAAATCGACTAAACTAAACTCAACTAAACTTGGAAGAAATTATATTTGTATGGAATATTTATAAAAACGAGTATATTAAAACTACTACAAGGTTAAATATTTAAACGTTAGAACATTAGCGCTTACAACTAATGAAACTACTCACTAGGAATTCCAGAGACTAATTTTAAGGGCCTTAGCACACGTATAGCCCTTAATGTTTTTAGATCTACCTCAATCCATTTTTGTGGGAGCAGTGCCATAAATCTGATATTGTTTCGAATATGCAAGTGTTTTGTTGTTTTTAATTGGAAATTGTTAAGTTTTGTTTATGTATTTTGATTTTTGATTTAGTGTTCAAGTGAATTTTAGATTTTAGTGGAATTTTGTTTCAAAGAGATAATTTTTATTTGGCAAAATGTTCCGATTGTATGGCATGGCATAAGTTGTGTTTAGTAGCAAATGAATTATGTATATAGTGGCAAAGGAGGATATAAAAGAACAACATATAAATTAATAAATATTGCAAATTTAAATATATATGCATATATACTAAACGAGTATTTTCAATTTGTACAAAATTTTCAACTAAAATCAAATGTAGAGTGCATCGTGAGTTTTCGTTTTTGATTCAATGTTCTTTTGAACACACCTATGGCTTTGGGATGGTGAGGAAAATCAACAATGAATATACCACATACAGACATAAAACACAATTTGGTGAGCGATTATTTAAAATTACTGATTTACAAACAAAGAAAACTTTTATATTATATATATGAGCTAAATTACGAGAAATGAGAGTCTAAAAAGCACATAAATTGTTTGCCAAATGAAAATTATTTATACAACAATATACATATGTATGTATGTATATGTATATATCTAGGTTAATAGGATCACAACGTCTACGAATACACGATTTTTTAGATTACTTTGTGAACTTGAATGAATATACAAGTATTTGCATAATGAAACATATTTTTTAATACTGAATTTTTTACAGTTATATTGATAATCCACACACACGAAAAGGAACCAAAGCAGGAGACTGTCGTCAAATTACTTCATTTCAAAAGCAAAACTGCAGAATTCAGTTCGAAAATATGGCAATTAGATTTTTTTAGCAGTGAAATCGCGCAAATTTGCTTTATATATAGAAAGTAACCTGACAACAGCAAAAGTCAATAAACTAAATTTAGTAATTGCAACAATCCATTTGTTGCCTGTTGAGTCAGTTTATAGGAAATATTCTTCCCTTAAATGTTAGCATTACATTTAGCATTACCTTTAGTGTAAATTGTGTAAGTATGGACATGCGAAGCGTGTAAGTCGAGATATCAGTAAGTTACCATATGTTCGCAAATATCATTATTACTAGAATAACTATGTTTAAGAAACTGGAAAGAAAGTAAGGATGCTATTGATATATTTTTAATTCCGAATAAGTAAGCCAAATCGCAATAAAGCCAGAAAAGCTAGGCGCAATAAAATATTGAACAACATTAGCGCAACTGTCACTGACCGAACAGGAATACGGCTGACAATTAATTGTAGAGAGCTTACAGTACTGTACCGTTATAGCAAGTTAGCATTGATATAAATATGTAAAACCTGTCAACATTTGGAATCGCACCAAATATGATCGGCTTTAATATGAATCAAACCATAGTATTTCCACTCTCTTGTTGTACATAGTATAGTATAATCGTGTAGGGAGTATTTAAATGTGCCGTGTGGTGGTGTTGAAACACTGTTCAAGGAACTTAAACTTCGAAACTAAAATTCATAATAATTAACTAAATTTCTACTTCTATTATATTAAATTTGCTACACACACTCTCGCACGCTTATACATTCGTCATATTTAAAACTAAAGCCGCGTTTTATTATAGACGTTTCACTACCACAACATTTTCTATATACCTGATCTACAGTTAGTGCTAAATATCTAGGTGTCTTTTGGAGAACTACTTTTTTGCTTACCCACTGCCGAGCACACAGATAAGTTTAGCGACAATTTTACGATAGACAGTCAGTTTTGTTTTACATGTGTAAATATATGTGCTTATTTAATTATTTCTATAATATATAATATGATCCACTATAAGTTATATCTCTGGCCTCTGTGTGTTTATGCTAATGTAGTTACAATTTTGGAGAATCTAAAAAATATCTATAAATTTTCGTTCGAGCACGCTTCATGTCTAATACATGATATCTGAGCAATGGTTCAAAGAGACAGACATATATGTAACTAAAATTATGTACGATTAGACAAAAAAATATAATTTTAATCGCTTTCCAACAAATGCTATTTTAAAACATAGTTGGGAAAATATTAAAGAATTTGGAGTATATTTCGACGTATTTTGAAATAAGATATTTTTGAGGTAGAAAGCATTTGCAGATTTGATTTAAAAAAAAAAATTCTTTATAAAAGTCAGCAGCTGTTTACTTTATGTGGATAAATTCCTAAAAACTCCGTTAAGAAACCTTTTCGTGTTAGTTTTCATTTTGGACAAAAATTCTAATATCATCAGTAGGCAAAAAAACTAAACCAATTAGCACCTTATATTAAAAGCATTTTTAAAAGCTTTTAGGAAGGCTTAAAGCTCAACTTAAAAAATAAAACTATAAATTTAAATAAGTTACACTGAGCTAAATATAAAAAAATGTCCAGCAAAGGTCAAGCGATCATACCTCAGAGAAAATGTTCATTTATGACAGAAAGGATAACTAAATTGCGTAAATACTAAGTTCGCTATTATTTCTAACTGCATATATCATACAAGGTGTGTTCCAAAGTAAACATGATTTAAAAAAAAAAACAGAACACATGTTGCTTTTCGGCAAAAGCAATTTATTTTATTCAAAATAGTCTCCTTCTGCTTCAATACGAATGAATGTTTTAGCTCGTTGGCCGGTATGGCCGCCAGTATGCCCGGTGTCCTTTTGAATGGCCTCTACGTCTGAATAACGCTTTCCTTTCATGCGCAAATGCAAATGCATTTTTTCGTGCTTAATAATTAAAATGTGATTTATGGTCAAATAATCGGTCACAATCGTCCTTCGATTGTTGGATTTTTTTCGTCAATCAATTTGGGCGGAACAAACGTGCACACACCTTTCGTTAACCAAAATGTTCGGTATGCGATAAATCGATGTTTTGGAGATGTTCAATTCAATTTCTATGAATTTGAATGAGGATTTCGGTTGATTTTTGATGAGTTCACGCACAGTTTAGATGCAATTTCCGGTGACCACGGATTTTGATTGGCCCAAATGTTGATCGTCAATTATGTATGTCCTGACGACACTTTAAAAACGTTGAAACCACTCGTGCACTCTGCTACGGAATAGCCAATCATCGCCGTAAACTGTTTTATCAATTGAAACGTTTCGGTAAACGTTTTACCAAATTTAAAAGAAATTGGCTCGTTCTTCGAAGCTCAGTTTTTGGTGTAGCACCGATAACACAAACATACGGATACTTAATAACTTCACTTCCAATCTATGAAATGTCATGAAATTCTCACTGGGCAATCGATAAAGATGGCATATTCTAACGCATCAGTCGACATATAGATGGCTCCTCCAGGGGGCGCTAGATTCCTGTTTACTTTGGAACACCCCTTGTAGTTGAAGAAGAAGTTCGAATAAAAATTACCCGTATCAAGAACAATAAAGCGGCGAAAGCCGCTCAAGCTCTTCAAACAAGTTTCTTTGTAGAATATGGTCTGGCGAAAGCGTGCCCGATTATTGGAATTTAAGTGTGCTCTGCCCAATCCACAAAATCTGCTCCAACTACCGTGAAATGAGTATCATCAACATCGCATATAAGGTTTTAACAAGCGTATTGAGTAATGATTATACCCACCATCAACAAACGGTTTGGATCTTATCAGCATAATATTAAGCCTAGCGCAACGCGCCAAATCTTGGAAATGACCCGTGAAAAGAGATTTTAAAGCTGTTTTTTGCAGCACGAAAAGGAGCTGCCTTTATGCCGCGATATCTGAAATTGGTACTGCCTCAAAACTAATATGGTCTTCATGCGATTTCTTCAATATGCTCTTAGAGGAATTAATTAACTGGGGAAGGAAGGTTTATAGGAGTGTACAGCTGCTGGCGTACGCCGATGGTATTCATATCATTGGCCTCAACAACCGCGCTGTTAGTTCTGCTTTCTGCAGAATGGATAAGGAGGCGAAGAAAATAGATCTAGTAGTAAACAAGGTCAAGACGAAATATCGCCTGTCATCAAATAAACAGTCGTCGCACTCGTGACTGGGCATCCACTTCAATGTTGATAGTCGTAGCTTCGAAGTCGGGGATAATTTCGTCTATCTTGGAATCAGTATTAACAACAATAACAATTGAAATCTAACTCAGAATAACCCTTGCCAAGAGGAGCTACTTTGGACTGAGTAGGTAATTGAGAATTGAAGTCCCCTTTCAACGAACGAAAACTAAACTCTATAAGACACTCGTTATTCCCATTCTGCTATATGCGGCAGTTGATGGAACAATTAGCAGTACAAGCTATACGACGACAAAGACATAGTTCAGCATTAAAGAAAGTGGCTACTCTGGCTGGATCATGTTGAATGGACGAAAACACTCAAGATCTCAAAGTATTCGGTGTGATATTCATGTTATGGTACAAGCGGTTATAGATACTGTCATCATTCATCATTAATCGTTTAATTTAATTTATACCGCCAAGTATTAGCATCTTCCCGTCGCAATGATATATTCTTCCTAATTTCAGCTTAATCCGATATTTGGTGTTTTTCCAATACTTTGGACACGTAGGCATGTGGTAATGGTATTAATTACCGTTAGGCACCATCTCAAAAATGTATTGTTTCGGTTCGCAATCAAACAAGGGATTGAATTGCGTTTGATGTTGACCTACCGGGTGGAATATGCTATATTAAATTCTTCTCCAATTACCATATTAACACTCAAAGTTACATACCGTACCGTATTTGCTTAAAATCTAGCACAAAACGCGAGTTGACATCTTTGAACACATTGCTCCATGGATATTTAATGCTTGCGAACTATTTTCGTCCGGATGGTTTAAATTTTATAACCACATAGACATAGATAAATTTAGCTAAGAAAATATTTTTCTAACTCAGCACTAGAATTTCTCTACAAGAAATTGAATAAACTTTCACTTAAATATGTATTCTTCTAATTATGTTATCTAAGTAAATTGCTATGTTCTGGCCTACGAATATAGTATGTGAGTACGTTTCAGTTGATAACTATGTATATGTACACGTACGCTAGAAGGCTTACTTGGAATTCTTGAAACGAGTTTGAGTGGCCGGAGTACCCGAAACGACCGCAACATACGCAGATCGACATCTATATTGGCCTCGGCGAAGATCGTCATAGCGCTACATACCCACCACACGCCCAGGCACACGTGCGCACACACCCACATACAATGRTGGTCATGCATGCATTGCAATTATTATTATTATTTTTTGTTTTTATATTTTAATGGCGTGCAAGAGTTTGTACGTATTTAGTTGGTAGATTAGCATCGATCAGCAGCATATTTGCTGTCTCTTATACACATCTAGATGTGTATAAGAGACAGATACAATGGTGGTCATGCATGCATTGCAATTATTATTATTATTTTTTGTTTTTATATTTTAATGGCGTGCAAGAGTTTGTACGTATTTAGTTGGTAGATTAGCATCGATCAGCAGCATATTTGTGTGCAATGGTGTTTGGGGTTTTGAATTTGGCAATAATAACGTCACGTTTTTTGCAGTTGTAAAATAAATAATTGGCAAAAAAAATTACAAAGAAAAATAATAACCAAAACAAAAACCGAAAGTTAATTTTTTCAAACACAATCAAGTGTACATACATACACACAATATAGTTGTAATAAATATGTTTATTTATAAAATTGAAAATAAGGTGGAAGAGAAGCGTAGATAATACATAGATTAAATTGAGTGATTTTGCATGAGACTTGTGTATATTAATGCCTTTATAGTAATAATTGGAATATCAAAAATGTTTTCGGATATACTATATTCTCAGTTGCTACTGGAAATGAGTTGGCTAGAACTTAGGTGAAGCTCAAAATGTTGCTATTAATAGATATTTATGGCCTTAGTAACTTTTTGCGGACTTTGGGCGTATTCTTTGGATAACTTGGTACACCATATAACTTCAAGTCTTATTTGCAGTTAAAACGCACTCGTTCGATGCTAAGGTAACGTTTCTGAAATTGATGAACTTCAAAAAGATTATGCATCCCGAGTTTCTTTTCGAACTTTTTTAAACCCCCAAAAAAGAACGTTCCATTGAGGACGTAAGAAAATAATGGAAAATGTGTGTAATAGTTAGATATGTCTCACATAATATCCATAATCATTCAATTAGCATATTTCAACACTGCTGCAGAGAAACGTCTAAAATTCGGCTTTTTCAACAAATTATATTAAATTTTATGTGAAAGACTTTTCATATATAATATAACCCAAAGAAGTGTATTGAATATTGCTGTACTTTGAGACTTAATTGTAGAAGAACAATACTCACTAAACGATCTATGATTGAGGGAGAGAGGAATATAAAATATTTCCCCACAATGACTTATATATATTATATTTGTAGTGTTTCAAGTTTTATAGGCAAGTTACAAGCATAACTTCGTTCATTCCTGACCGAATAAGTGCATTGAGTTGTGAACCGAAAAAGAAAATAGTGGCAAGAAACAGGCAATGCATCAACAATAGAACATGCTTATCATTATGAGTGATGATAATAAATAATGGTGAATATTTTACGTGTTATTGGGTAATATTACTTATATACAGATGTTGTAAATGTTGTAAAGATCGTGTGCGATCCATTCAAAAAACCCATCGCCAAGGACTTTAGTATTTGATGAAACAGCAACAACAACAATAGGTATTTTATGCAAGTGTTCGGAATGAAATCAAAATATTTACCCCGTTACTACGACGATAAAATCCATGATGTTCCAAATATTCCTGAGGTAGGAGTGTTTATGCAGAACAAGCCCTAGGGCAAGGATCTTGAGCGATGCTTCTACACAGAAAATGCATAAAAAATAGGTCTCCGTTTTTTCCTAGATTCGTAAAAATAGATGTTGTGTATTTATTTTTAAATCATTGTAAAATTAATAACAATTATATCCACCGTTGAAAAGTTCGCAATTCAAAGCGTGAATTTACAATTTTCTAGGTGGAACTTAACTCACCAGTTTCAGCGCCAATACTGTTTTATCACTCCCAGGCAAATGTTCTTCTAAAGCCAACACAACACAGTTGGCAATGATTGTCAATAACACAGCATACTCGAAGGGCGGCCATTCAATGATGAATCGTGTGTATTTTCTAATTGGATTATCCTCGGTGAGGATAAATAATGATGTTGGACCACCACCGGGTGGTGTGTCGTCTTTCTTTGGGCCACCCATTCTATCAGCTAAGCGATGGGCTCCCCTTCGACCCGAGTGCCCCCCGCTTGTGGAGCCCTGTTGATGCCCTGCTAGCGCCGCTTCCTGAGCCGCTGCCAACCTGCAAAAATATATTTGGACCACGATTAGAATACATTAAATATTTATTTCCTAAACTTTGAAGTTGAAATGCCAAGGTTTAAATACAAATTTTAATAATTATATACTATTAACGGATATTTTAATTTTTAATATATTGATGTTCGTAAAGAGAATTGGCAGTTAGTCAGAAATGGCTTGAGTTCCATAAGTAAGTAATCGAATTGGATATATTTTGCCTTCCTTCCAGCTACATTTTATTCATATTCATTTATTAAAGGGTATAAATATTTTATCTTGATATCGATCGGTAAGGTTGCAGAGCAGCTTTATGCTATAGTGGACTTGAACTTGATCGGTAAATCTAAAGTTTCTAAATCTATATTGTACAAATGATAAGGATAACGAAAGGAGTGGAAATTCGGGTGACTGTCTGTCCGTCCGCATTAAGAATAATTAAATAGTTGGTATTTACATAACTTCTACATTCTGACCAATAGTACCTAAAAAGTTTAAATAAAAGGAAAAAAATTAAATATTCATCAACATATAATTGGTCGATTTCCAAGAAATCCCCCAAAAAATAACAACTTATACCAACGACCTAGAAACACTTTTCATAAGCACTTTTTGAGAAGTCCTTCAGCGAATTTTGTTTTATTTCATCGATCGACTGAAAACGGATTCTATTTCGATGATTGTTGACTTGTTTGCATGTCGAATTCGCTTGTCCTGCTCTCCACGAATGTGGGATCCGGATCACGCACGTACCAAAAGACATGTTTACGGTACTCTTTTTGGAAGAAAAAATTAAGCTTTATCGGGACGAGTCGAGAAATTTCGCGTTTTACACCCAAAATATCCACCAAAATCATTCGAACGGACTATCGAGAGATGTCAAGCTCTCTTGCCATCTCTCTAGCACTTGCCTGATAATTTTCATGTACCACATTCTTCACGTTTTTTATGTTTCATCAGTTGAAGAGGTCGAGCGAGGCACGTCTTCAACGATCTATCGACCGTTTTTTGAAGACTTTGTATCACTCGTAGGCTTGTGATTTTGTTACAACTGAATCACCGTAAGCCTTTTCAACATTTCCAATAGTTCCGCACACACAACTTAAGACAAATTCTTTGATCGATATTTTTATCCATCGAAAAAATCTCAACGCGCTTCTGAGGTGTACCGTCTTAAGCAGCTGCTGTAAACAAACTGGTTGACAAAACGCGCTCATATTTGGCATACTAATTCAGGACAATCCTACTTAGCAAAATACATGTTTTTGAAGGTAAATTAGAATTTCACTATCGTGTTGATTTTTGTCATAATGTATATGAAGTTAAGACTCTTCTTAAGTAAGCTACTTGAATAATAGTCTTTCAACATGTTGATATATAGTATAATAATTTATATAAATTGGTCTATGAATACCATATTGCGGTCAATGTGTGGCATTATCTTTCGAAAAATGTTTGGAATCAGCGACTTCAGCGATTTGGTCTTTCCATTTGTCTATAAACAATTTATATTGATCAAAATGTGTACCATTCCCACGACAGTGGGTCTACGTAACAGGAACGGACCCGAATCTTTTACCCGGCCAAGAACTGTCAACTCGACTGAATTCTACCGTTACAACAACAATAATCAAAATGTCTACTTCTTTGATGAAGTGACTTCCGATTATTTGATCGGATGTTCCTCATGTAACCAATATAAATATTAAGTTTAGCCCCTTTGATTGTGCTTATATCACACATATCTCATTAAAGTAAAACAGACTGATTTTAGAACCTTTATTTATTATGTATAGAACTACAATTAAAGCAAATTTCAGCAGTGATACAAATTAATATTTCTGAATTTTATTAATGGACGTATAGTACATTAACTGTTGTTGGGATTAGGGGAAGGTCAAACTGTCTAACTACAACAGACAGACCACGGGAAAAGATATCATGACCCTAAAATGTTTATACTCTTGCAACATTTTACGAACGATATAATGTTTTTACTCATATGACGGTTCCTTCTAACACCTGAAACTAATCGTGATATACAAGTATATTGTTATACACAACATATATCAAAATGATAACATGACGAGTCGACAGAATCTAGTATGTATATGTAAGCGATAGGATATCTTGATCTAAGGTATTCCTTGACAATCTGAGAAGATTCATTGAATATGGGTGAAAACATACTGTTGTTCATCCCGACTAAATACTGTTTCAAGAAAAGATATAAAGTTATATCACTTAAAAACAAAAAAACAAAATTCTATCTGATTTTGTCACCTGAAAATAAATAAATCAAAAATGAAGCTGTCGAAATAAAAGTGTTCCTCAAGTTATGGCATCTCTAATCTAAAAACTGCCGCAATTAGACTATAACTTTTCAAGCCCTCCATATCTCAGTACCTTTCGATTAATATCAAGATATATTATATCTGAATTGAATTCAAAGGGCATATTTTACTTATACTTATTATAACCAAGATCCGAAGAGTGGTCATATACGTACTTCCCCTGGTATCACATTCATAACAGATAATTGTTTTAAAACTTCCGGTTGGCTTTATAGCGTGTACTCCTACCCTCATATACTCTATATAATTATTTCCAAAACTAGACTAAGCTTTTCGTCGAATATACATATCAGTCAATATAAAAATGTGATAACATATTCACAAGCCTACTTTAGTTGAATGTCCAAAGTAAATAGGTTCAAATATTATCTAGCCCTATATCATGATTTCGACTTTTCTATAAACTTTTAACCGATTATGGCTATCTACCTAAATATATGTGAGATATTTCTTTGGCCACAACATGTTTAATCTGTCAACTTGTGGTATTTATCTAATTTCCCTAATAATAATAACCCAACTATTACTCTCATCCAGGCGATGTGAGGGGCGTTGGCCATGTCATGAAAGGCAACATAATTTTTTAAGCTTGGAGTTTTCAATTACAGAAACGAACATTTTACAGCTAAGATTTAAAATTACGTTAGAACGAATTGCTGCGATCTTATTTATTAAGAGAAAGTAGAATTTTTAATTTAGAGTCAGACAAATCAAATGTGCAGGAGTGAGATTCAAATTCATAATATATGCGGCAGAAACGTGCATGTATGTAGTTCACAATTTGGTCAAGAAGACTTGAACAGTAATAGTCTAAACTGCCACGAAAAGTGGAACGGTCCTTCAGACAAGAGAAAAGAACTGCAAACTGTTCCATTCAGGACTTTTAATAAGAATAATATACCAAGTATTTCTCTACGCCTAGTAAGAGTTGGTAAGTTTATAATTTCTAAGAATATAGAGGTAGACTAACCTGGAATTCCAGCGGAAATTTTTTAAAGTGAAAAGTCAAAATTGATTTTGAACAGACTCTAACTTTTCAAAATGAATTGGGTAGGGGTTACATACCACAAAGCCATGTTCCAATATTGGCCGAAACAACGTTGTAAAAAGAAAGGTTAATGCGGACTTTTAAATTATTTAGACCAGCGTTTAATAAAACTAAAATCACCTTTTGCTTTCAAAATCATGGTATCAATATGAAAACTGAAATTAATTAGGGTCCATACTAATTTGCAAATCATCAAAGCTTAAGTTTGCTCTACAGTTTTTATTACAAAAAATTGAGATGCAGAGATCTACTGAGAAAAGGGCATCGTCTTTCCTCTTTTGAGATTCAATGACAAATCATTTTTATAAAATATTCATTCAAATAATTTAGTTTCACCAGTCAAAGCATACGATTTTCTTTAATCTTTCTGTCGTAATGTTCTATTACTAAAGAGAATAAATGACATGAAAATAATCGGCCCAAGATGACTACATTGTGGAACACGTAAGAGACATTAATTGCATCTGAAAGAGCATCATTAAATATCAATCGCTGAGTTCTATTACAAAGCTGAGAAAATATTTGATGAAAGGAAAGAGATCAAGCATGAGAGTCGAGAGATTCAGTTTTATAATGTCAGAGAACACGTAGGCTGCCTTTTATATTTTGGCATTTGGCGTAGCTAGTGTTGCAATCTGAAAGCTTTCACATAAGGGAACTTTTACAGTAACTTAAGATATTCGTAAATTATTGCAGCAATAGTGTATCGATGAACTTAAATCTATTTTTGGCGGTAAAACTCCCTCAGGAAGATCTGTTTATCGATGGTATGTTCAACAAAATCAATCACTCCAAAACGAATTTTGCTGTACACAAGCTGATAGCGCTAGATCGTCATGCGGCCTATTATTATTATTATTGAGACGACTAGAGGGACTATACCACATTAACTACTGCATGAACATAAGATTGTAGACAAATTGTGGTTGTCTTGGTTTTTTGTTTTTTTTTTTGTTTGATCAACAACAATTTGTCAATCGCTCCAAAAACTACCTCTGCTGATTGGTTGAGTTGGTGCTTCGAAACACGTTTTTGACATCGTCACAGGGGATGGATCTTGGATTTAAGCATATGAGCATGAAAGTAAACAGCAGTCTACTGTATGAGGGTTTCAAGCCCAATCACTTCCTAATAAATGGTTGCCTATTTTTTTGGGAAAAACTTTAAATACCGCAAGAGAAACGCATAATAGTAAGTTTTGAGTAGCATATAACCAGCACAGCTGCCTTTAAAGAAATCGAGTAAGACAACCACCGAAGACGGATCGCTCCTCACCACGATAATGCGATAATCCCTCACATCGCACTATCGGCTGAAACACTTAAAATATCAATTTGAATAGCAGTCCTCTTGACTTGGTACCAAATGACTTGTTTTTTTTTTTCTTACGAAAAAAAAAAAACTTAGAGCTCAATGTTATTCGACACCTAAAAGGGCGGTTGATGCGTTCCGAACGCATGCTTCGGGGATACCTCCATCAGAATGGCAAAAATTCTTTGATAATTAGTTCAAATGCATGAAAAAGAGAATAGTTTGAAAAACAATAAAGCAATCTTCGTCGATTATTATTTCTTTTTGTTCTGTAATCTCGAAATAAAAAAG